GTAGATAAGAGATTTGGCTGATGGGGAGACACTAGATGAACTGGATCCACAGTTGTTCTATTGAAAAATAAATCACTGATACAAAGCTTTCACTTTGATGTTACAAAAGTGCAATAAGGAGTTTTCTGATCATTCATCTGAAACGAGAGAGCAGAGAACTGTGCGTTCTCATTTTCCATTGTACCCTATCCAGCAGGGACCCATGAATTCCAGTGCACTGTGCAGAATTTCCAATACCTGCTGTAGATGGTTCCTACCCTTCCTAATGCTGCAACCCTTTAATACAGTTCTTCATGTTGTAGTCATCCCCAACCACTAAAGTTTTTTCATTGCTACTTCATAACTGTGCTTTTGCTACTGTTATGAATTGCAATGTAAATATTTTTGGAGATAGAGGTTCTCCAAAGGGGTCTCATCCCTCAGGTTGAGAATCACTGCTCTAGCTCAATGACTGATAGCCCCTGGATGCAGTCTATTAGCTTAGCTGAGTTTCGATTTTTACTGGGCAGATACAATGAATGAGTGTTCATACAGAATTCTACTCACACGGTGTTCTGATAGTAAGAACACTTCCCAAATGGGAAATAGTGGATAGCTGAATCAGTTTTGAGCAAGCATAACTCATTAGATAAAAAACTTCACTTGGATGACCGCAAGTCTTAGTCTGTGTTTGCGACTGAGAGCAAATAAGAATTTCCATTTAAAGAGAGTGGTGGGGAGAATTATGGTCAGCACCAATCCTCTCTCTCTCTCATTTCACACAACCTAAAGAGAAAGCATTATAGAGAGGCTAGTTACACAAAGTATGAAGGAATGGCTGAAAGGCAAGGACTTGTGTAATACATCCTTCTTTATAAGAAATCAAAGAGGGCTTTGCTCAGATGGAGTATAATCTCTTCTGGGTCCTGATTATAGTAGTTCCTCAGTGTCCTATAGAGAAAGATAACTTACACATCACCTGAAATGATCACTGCGTTGCAGTATTTCATATCACATCTGGGCAGATGTATGCCACTCACACAAGAACCTTATCGCACACCTCTAAATTCCCAATGCGTTGGGAAGATCGCTTTTGGTAGGGCACAGCAGGACTTGATACTGATGAAATGACACCATAACCTTGTTGATCATAATAGCTAGGTGACATTTTAAGGAACAACTGCAAGGATACAAAGTAGCTTGTCCCTGTTCCCCACGACAGCAAAACTTTAAATACTTCTTACCCACATAGCATTCCAATGGCAGCCCCAGGACCCAGCATTCCTATGCCACAATGGAGGTTGACCAACAGGCTGAGTTTCATAAATCAGTGTGTGAGAATTCGGGGCCATGTCAAGTCTCTGCTCGTGTGCCTCACGATGGGTGTTGAGAGAGAACTCTGAGGTGAGGGCTGGCCAGTTCTTTTCAGAAGAGATGTAGGGAGGAAGGTGCACACTGCAGCTTAGCTCTTTCAAATTGTCACAATTCCCAGGGGCATGGAAGTGGATGCCGGCTCTCAGGAACGAAGGCGGGGAATTGTAAATTCAAAGCCAGCCTGGGCAGTATAGTGAGACTCTATCTCAAAAGATAAAGAAAAAAATGAACTTACAATCTTTATAAGCACCTCGTGGAAAAAAGTATCCTGTCTATGAGATCCTGGGCATGGTGTCAAATGAGTAAACACACTTTGTCATGTGTGTGTGTGTGTGCGTGTGTGTGTATGTGTGTGTGTGTGTGTACGCGCGTGCACATGCGTGCTATCACGCCATTCCCCATATCACTGAACTCACGGAGAATATGGCAAGCCCTACCTTGCTCATTTCAGTAGCTATATTTCTTCCCAGGACAAGTTTTTATTTCAAGAAACAAAGAAAGACTTGGCTAGCCATGAACTGTCTTAGTTGCTCCGAACACCACCACCACCACCACCACCACCACCACCACCACCACCACCACCCTCCAAAAAATTCTCTGCTGTCTGAGAACGGCTCTGAAAGGAAAATGGAAATCTTCTCCTGGATCCAGTATGACTTAAGATGAAAGACTGCTACCGCTGCCCCGAGACAGGTCTCCAGTCTAGCCTTGTCTGTGAGAAAGAGCTGGGAGTGCCATCCTGAAGCACTCTCCCGTGATTTCTTTTCCACAGTGTCACGGACACGGCGTTAAATGAATATGGGTTTGGTTATCAGCAGCGTCAGACACTTACCACTGGAGAAAACATTCACCAGACAGAAAGGATCTACCAGCCAATTTTTAAAATCTCCGGTAGAGAAATGAGTATTGATGTTAACCAAATTAAAATCACCTCCAACAACGCATGTACTCGGTTGTTTCAGAGTAGAACAATGAGATCAAATTTGGGTTGCTGTCATTTTACATTAAGAAGCAATTTAGAAATGATAGTCAATTTGTAATATTAGGAAGACAGCTTTCAAAGCAGGAGATATTTTACTGCAATACTGAATGCAGACACAGAGGTTTTTCTGCTCTTCCTTTCCACAATTATCCTAAGGCCACATAGGAGACCCACAGCTTCTTAGTGTTTTCTGTGAACTGTTCTGTAGACAACTGAGGTTTCCCAAAAGAAAGCAAACTCAAGCTGTAGGCTTCCCCAAGGTGGATGTCAGCTAGGCGCTAATTACCCAAGTCTTGTCATCCGCTATGGAGGAAACCAAGATTACAATTCAAGCATGATTCTAGTTACTTCTTTCTCACTATCTAGCTACACACCCCAAGTAAACCAGAGTATCTTTGGACCCCAGTTTCTCATCTGCAAAGTGGGTTCTATCCCTGGAAAGTGTCTTGAGGAGCAGAGGGTACCCAGTCCTTACCTTCTCTGCTATTCCAGAAGAGGAATCCAGGCCTTACTGCCAGAGCTATTGAAGAGTAAAGAGCAGGCGGTGAGTTCTGGGCTTGTGGAAGCCTGAAGCAGGGCTTTATCTTCTACCCACAACTCTTGCTCTGTCTAACTATGCTTGCTTCTCCTCTCCCCTCGGCACGTTGTTTGTGCCAGGACACCTGGGGTGCATTTCTGCTCTGGTCGATCAGGCTTCTGCCCTAATTCTCTCCATGCATCATGATGCCTCCAAGACCCCTTACTTTACTCTCCAGAAAGGAATGGCTGGATCAGGAAAGCGCTGTGTGTTGTCAAATCAGGAACACGTTTGTACTCCCACTGCAATTCCTGTTATCATTTTTTTATTTTTAAAAGATTGTTAGGAGCCTGCAGCAGCCTAATAGAATTAAAACCAGCAGGCAAAGCAAAATGAGAAGTGGAAGTCTAATTATTTTAGGAAATAGTAAGACATTGTTGCTAGCCCAATTTGAGGCACTCAACAAGACCCATTGCTGTGTAAAATCTGTCGGGGACAACTCTTTCTGAAGTGTCCCCTATCCAGAGATCACCAGTCATGGCCACAGCACCAAATGCCGTCCACTTAAAGTTTCCACCGCTTAATTAGATTTGGAAAAGAGAAGAAAGTTAGGGGGCCAGGTTCTCAGGGAGATTGTGGGGCAGCATTTAGAAGGGAAAGTCGGGGTCACCCTGTCACCATTCTACCATACTGAAGTAAGACGTTGAAACTTATTAGAAAAATAGCTTCATGCCAGAAGGAGCTAGGAGGAGACACTTTAATGGATCTGAAGAACGTTCTGGAATTTTCTACCAGGATGGATATTCTTTATTGAGGTTATGTCCCTCACAGAGTGAAGAACCTTTCTTTGCACCCCAGTAACAGGAAAGCACTTGTTTTCCAAACTTCTAAGAAACACACACACACACATACACACACACGTGCACACACACGTGCACACACGCACATATGCACACACATACACCTACACACACACTCCACTGAGCCCATTTAGGGTTTCTCTTACCTACATGTGTTTAGGGCTGAACACTTTGAATTGGACCACTAGAGTGCTCAGCCATGGAGAAGACTCATTTCTCTCTCTCAGTAGCCATCGATTGCCTGTATTTCTTCAGCTAGACTTGCGGTCCTATCAGATTTCCCCATCCACATCGACAAGTCAGCTGGTGTGGTCACTGTGCAGGTCTTGCTTAGGGAGCCACATTGTTGGGATTTCATGGGTGCAGCTTCCCTGACACAGAAGACGCTGCCTGACTCTTCTGCTCCCTCTACTATGGTGTTCTTGAACCTTAAGAATAGGGGCTTGCGGAAGTGACAACTATGACTGTGTTCACCATGGCACACACATATTCTGTGAGTTTGGGCTCATCTTGGGGTCTCTGAGGTAGCCTCTAAACAGAAATATTCTTAAGGAAACTCTATGCCCATTCCCTTGGACTACAACAGTTAGCTCCTTATCTACCTTATGTATTAATTCACTCTAAGAATTGCAGTCCCCTTGAGACTTTCAATCAGTTGACACTAATGTAAACATGATATGAAAATTTCTTTCTTATAGAAGTTAGGGTTCAAGGGGAAGGATAAGGAATAGTGAATAATTTGAGTCTCAAACTGAAATCTCTTGCAAGCAAATCCTGTATCATCTCCATCATTCAGAGGGAATCCAACCTTAAGAGAAACACGTAAGAATGAACCTGAGTGGATAGCAATAAAATTTTATTAATACATCAAAAAAATTAGACAAAAAGCATACATTGGGTCCCGTGTTGGTCAAGAGTTGCTGCATGTAGCCTGTGCACGGTTCATTTTTGTGGGGAAGGGAGCTTTGGATCTGAACTTTGGTTCCCATCCGCTAGAATCACAAGGGAACCCATCAGATGTGTGTTTTTCTTTTTACTTTCTTTCTAGTTCCTTGGAGAAACCTGGCACCTAGGATACTGTGAAGGGAAAATCGAAGCTCATTTTTTACATTTCATTTATAATAAAAAGTCATCAACATTACTTGTCTCCCAGGGAATTGTTTCATTTTTTCCTCTCCCTGGCGGGCTTCATACTTAAGCCTCTCTGAAAGACAAACTAAAAAAAACCAGTGACAGACGCGTTATTTCCTGACAAGTGCGCTGAGCTGTGCCTTCGTTCTTTCTGCAGTCTCTGCGGACAACTGGTCCCCGATGCTGCCTCCGCTGGAAGACCAAGACCAGTTTGCTGCGCTGATTGGTGCTCCAGCCTGTGGTTTCTGCTGCCACCACCATGGAAAAGCAATGCCGGTTTCACCAGTCCTGAGCCCGGTGTGAGACTTTTGAGTGCACTTAAGTCGCGGCCCCACCCCCTCTTTGTAGAGATGTCTGGGGCTGAGCCTTCCTCTGGGTTTGCAGGAGGTGTGGAGAATGGAACTTTCCTGGAGCTGTTCCCCACGTCGCTGTCCACGTCGGTAGACGCGTCCTCGGGCCACCTGTCCAATGTCTACATCTATGTGTTCATATTCCTCAGCCTCCTGGCCTTCCTGCTCCTGCTGCTAATCATTGCCCTCCAGAGGCTGAAGAACATCATCTCCTCCAGCTCCTCCTACCCTGAGTACCCGAGCGACGCCGGCAGCTCTTTCACCAACTTGGAAGTCTGCAGTATCTCCTCCCAGAGGTCTACTTTTTCCAACCTCTCGTCGTGAAGACGTGGAAGGTGTCCCGAGCGAGCACGGCGTTGGCTTCTCCACGCAGGAGGGGCTGCTTCGTGAAAGAAATGACCCTTCGGGTGGACCTGTGTCCCTCTTTTGTATTTTTTAATGTCTTTCCTGCTCGGGATGTGCTCCGATTGTGAGGGGAGGAGCCCATGCTGACGGAAATGTATGTAAATGTTGAGGTATGGGATTCACCCCAAAGTTCTTGGTCAGCCTGCAGGCCGGTCGGCACTGTGCTGGACACCAGGGACTCAGCTGAGAACCGCTGGGGATGCTGGTTGCAGGCTCTTTGACTCGGCCTCTTCCCAAGTCCTGGGACTAACCGAGCCAGCAGACATAAAAAAAGAAAAAGAAAAGGAGATTATTCAGAAGATGTTTTCTGTATTTAAAAGATAAGGCAGAGATGGTATATGAGAGAGGGAGGGAGAGAGAGAGAGACAGAGAGAGAACTTAGATTTAGCATGCAAAACGCTTCCAAATGGAGGTTAAAATAGGATAAATGTTTTTCTTTGATTTCACCTTAGCAAATGTCACACATGATGAGAAGTCATCTGGGAACATTCTGGGGGAGTCGAAAGCGTCAATAGCACAAGGAAAGTGTGTCGTGATGTGGTTTACGCTGCTTTCCTGCTCCTGGGCTGTCTCTTGGCTCGCTTTGCAGTCATCATGCTCTCCGGCTATGGAATCCCTTGTGGCAGTTGCTATCACTACACAGAGCACGGAAGCAGTGCAATTCATTTTTACCTCCTCACTACCGTTCTCATCCAGTAGGAATTAAACGCAGAGAAATATCTGTTCAGCTGTATTTTACGTAGTAATACTCTCAGCGGCTGTGCATTCCTTCGCGGAGTTTGTCTCTAAAGCTTTACTGCGGGGTCACTCGTCTCCAAGGAGGCAGGTGTTCGCGCATGTGAGTTTGCAAACCTTAGGGACTGTATTGCTGATATCTGTGTCACACTCCATGAACATCATGTGTCTCTGATAACTTGTTTATGTTGACGAAACACCCTGCACTGGGTATCTAGGGTGGGAGTTTATACTAAAAGCTGCACACATTGCAATTGGGCAGCAGCAGATACTTCAGGGCTGCTGGAAGCTGCTAGACTGAGACCAGCCACGGGTGTCCATGAGATGAGCTGTGAGCACAAGTGTGGTATGTGCAGGGAATCAAGCAAAGCCAACGGCACCTTCTTATGGATCAGAATTTAAACTCCATTTTGTAAAATAAATGGCCCACTGGATGAAGGCTCTAGGATGGCACACAAGGAAGTCGTCAATCTCATTACCGGGGAAGGACATTTAAGGTAGCCTCTCCACTATTGGTTAGATTGCCAGTTGGTGTCATCCTTGTAGATCTCTGGACAGCTCACTAGTGTCAGAGAAACCCTGTCTCGTAAAAACCAAAAAAAAAAAACATTTAATAATCTTAAATAAACACTGGGAACCTCATCACAGCCCCTGGGTGGATTGTGCAGGCAGAACTCCCCAGGAACAGGAATGGGAGAAAGAGTCCAGCATTTTACAGGCCCTGCCTGGCATCCTAGACGTGCAGAGGCTTGGAGATCAAAAGCTGCCTCCTCCTTTTCACTCCACAATCAAATCAGGACATGCTGAGCTGCTTGTGTGTCAAGGACATCCACACACACTGTCAGACCGGTACAGATGCTGCCCCAAAATGTGTGGTGACAATCACACCTCTGCGGTCACTTACGGCGTGACGTCACGCATAGCAGAATCTTGGTCTAGAGAAGTTCTGCATTTTGGGAGGTGATTACCATTCTCTGGGAGTCTGTGGGCACATGTATGCCTGCAGCTATGTATACGAGGTGGGTGGACACAGATACACGTATGTCTGCACATGTTTCCAGGGAAACGTCATGTGACAGCCACCAGGGTTATAGAAGCACCTGTCATGTCACTTCTACCTTTTAATTATTCTTGGGCTGTTTTGATTCTGAGATTATTGGGTACAGAGGTTTTTTTTCAAGACAGGGTTTCTCTGTATTGTTTTGGAGGTTGTTCTGGAACTCACTCTGTAAACCAGGCTGGCCTTGAACTCACAGAGTGCTGGGATTAAAGGCGTGTGCTCCACCAATGCCCAGGTACAGAGATTTTAATAAACAAAAAGACAAACATCCCATATGACAGATAACCTGGTTAGGTCTTGTCCTGAGGAGGTGGCTTTAATATCCTGTCCTTCTAGAATAGGTTCAAAGACTTCAGACAAGAAAACCACGCAAGTCAAATTCACCTGCCTTTGCAGGCACAGTGCTCCTCCAGCCACGTGATTCCTGCTCCCTGCATCAACTGGAATAACTGCCAGCAAGTCTCAGAGACGGAAAACAGGAGTCACCACTAAACACTGCGCAGGCTGAAATGGGTTTGTCGTGTTGGAAAAGTTCAGGGAGACTGGAAAACAGGGAAACAAATAAAGAGGTGGCGTCTGTTGAAAGCCTGGGTTCTCGTTTTGTTCAACAATTTACTCCCCCCTGGAGAAGACAATTTGCCCATGAGTTCTAAGTGTATCTATAGAATCTATACTATACAATGTCCATATACCAAAAGCCCATGTGGGGGGGGTGGGCGGCTGGAGAGATGGCTCAGTGGATAAGAGAGATTGCTGCTCTTCCAGAGGACCAGAATTCAAAGCCCAGCACCAATGTTGGGTGGATCACAACCACCTATAACTCCAGCTCCAGGGATCCCACGGCCTCATCTGGCCTCAGGCACTCACGCACATGGCACACACATGTACATTCTATATAGAGTATCTGTGAAATGTGTGGACATGTTTATATGCATATCACCACTGCCTTTCTCTAAAGAAGGATGTCCAATGTACGACACAGGGCCATCCTCTCCTCAACACTGCAGGGATCACTCCCTCTTGGCAGTGAGGGAAGTCTCGGTTTGGCCTAGAGAAGAATCACTCACAAGAATGCTTGGAAATTTCATAAGTTCCTACCGAAGCAGGCATCTAAAGATCACAGAAGGCTACAGGTTCAGAAGAGGTGAAGGAGGAGGAGAAGGATGGAGAGGAGGAGGAGGGAGAGGAGGAGGAGAAGGAAAACCTTCCTGTTCTCCACAAGTACTGGGAGTAAGGCAGTAAGTTTGGCTCATGTGCACTTGGGAAGAGAGCTTCCTCTCAGGCATTGCCCACCTAATGGCAGTGTCTCCAATCTGAACATTGGCCCACCTGCCACCTACTCACAGACCCACTTCAACCTCCTCTCCTGCCGGAGCATGGAATCCAGACCACCTTTCTTAGCATGGGGGAAATGCTGTTATTGTGATAGCTTTGGAGGAAAAGACAGGCGAGCCAGGTCCTATCTCTCATCAAATCCCTTTGTTCCTACAGCTCCACTTTCATGAGACAAAGCATGTGTAGTAGGCTAGATGATTGAAGTATTTATATGATGAGGCAAAAAAAATGTACATTTTATACCAAGACACTCCCACAGCCTAAAGGAGAATCACAAAATGACTCGACAGCCAAATCATCAAAGACAAACGCCTGTTTTGGTTGATGTCCTGCCTTGACATCAGCTTCCGTACCTTCCCATTCTCCTTTACAAAGTCCCTTGGTGGTCCATCTCCATCAGTCCAACACACAGCCCCTTAGCCTTTAGAGGCTGCTCCATGTTATTTGTGGAAAGACCAAGACACCACCTCAATTCTTAAAGTCCTCTCAGCTCAATTTAACCCAGCCTTCCATGGCAAACAGAATGTCATTTCCTATAGCTGGAGAGATGGCTCAGAAGTTAAGAGCACTGGCTATTTTTCCAGAGGTCCTGAGTTTAATTCCCAGCAACCACATGGTGGCTCACAACCATCTATAATGAGATCTGGTGCCTTCTTCTAGCATGCAGGCAGAACACTATATATATAACCAATAAACACATCTTTAAAAAGAATGCCATTTCCCCCTCATTCATTCCTCCATTTTAAAGCCATGCCCAAGCTACTAACACTTTATGAGACACTTCCTGTTCATAATGATTTTTATTGTGACTCTGACCATTCTTCTGATGGCAGAGTCCTCATCAAACCATCCCAAATGTAGGTTTTCTTTTTCTTGGCTGGAGTTCATACTCTGTGGGGGATATGCCATCCTGAAAACTGTAAGAAGTGTTTAGCAAGCATTTATGAAATAGATGAATGCATCCTTTGGTGCTGGATAGAACAGACAGAGTTCCTGCTCTCCCGAAACATATGACCTCATGGAGGAATTACTCAAAAGAACATGAAAAAGAAATATAAACAAGTGTGGTGTCATGAGTGCTATTGAGAAAAGCAGTTGAGAAATGACAGACCCCAAGGGAAATTCACTTAGGAAAATACTTGAATGGTGTTAAAAAGAGCGTCTGGGATGTAATATTGGGAGGTGGGCGGGACAGGTCAAGCAGGAGCTTATAGATTTCATCACTGGACTTACCTTTAAGAACGCATACTCCAATTTCTTTGTGGAAAAGTGAACAAAGATGGACAAAAAGTCCTAGTCAGATGCATGCTGGGTGGGACACATGAGTGGGTGGAAGTTGTTCTGTCTGCTACAAATATCTGCTCATCTCCTAGCCATGGAGACAGCCTGAGCTAAGAGTGAGTTTCTTGCACAACCCATTCCTCCTACACTGTTTCCAATCCTCCCCCTACCTCTCTCTTACACAGACACACACACACACACACACACACACACACACACACACACACACCTTCTCATACTCCCCCCACTCTCCCGACTTGTCCCCACCTGGCCCTTATTTAAAATCTTTCAATCGTTTTCGGTCCAAACTGCAACTCTTACTCCAGTATTTTTAACATGTTGTATGACTAATGCTCCCACAAAACTCTAATGCCACAGTAAAGCTACAGCATTAAAAATCTTACAGAATCCCATTTCTAAACATGTGATTGCCCTTTGTACCCTACAAAGCCCACTCCTCATGATCCCAGCCTCCCGTAGTTAGATAATATTTTGAGATGTGCTCTCCTTGGCTATCTGCCTGCCCTGCTAGTTATTGCTGACCTTCTTAGAACGTGGCATCAATCTAGTCAGGCATTCATTTAAATCCCTAAGCCCCAGGTATTCCCTCCGTGACCTCAGGCAACATGTCCTGAGGCCCCAGGTCTTAATAAAGTGTAGAAGGAATACTGTCTTTAAATGCTGTGTGGATTCAGAGACAGCCATATGTGAACTGGTACCTCACTGTTTAGTACATGGTAATATATGCATGTGCCAAGCCAACATCACTTTGAACATTTGGCTTCGGGGGTTCAAATCTTCCCACTGTTTCTTCTACCTCCCACTCTCTCTGTTTTTCTCCACCTAATTCCTCTCCCCTTCTTCCTCCCTTGCACACCTAACCTAATCTTTTGCATGCTGAGCCGTCTGCCCTGCTGTCCTCTTCTGGCTTTAGCCCATCAGCAGTCTCCTCCACGGCCCCAGCATACATATAGAGGAAAATACAGAGGGCTTCCTGCAGCCCTTTCTCCCAAGGAGTTCACCCACTTATTCAGTCTGCCCCCTTCCCATGGACCATAGGTAATATTCATGGCTCCTATGCAAGCAGAATTGGTGAGGAAACACCCAATCTCAAAGATATCTGTTGAGTTCCCTGCAGTTCAGAAAGCATCGCCAGTGTGCTGGGGACAGTAGGGGTTACAAGGAGACAGGCTCTGATTCAAGGGAAGCCAGGTGGGGTAAGGTGTTACGCTCTTCAAAATTTTTGCCATAGAAGCTGCTTTGTGCAGTGGGTGGGGTTAGCGCATGCTCTTAACTGCCAAAGCACTGGGAATCAGCGACCAAGTGTTTAGTCCTAATGGAGCCTCTGTATCAGTCCCCTCCCAAGGCTCAGGGGACACTGTGAAAGACGAGGCAGGAAGAATGTAAGAGCCACGGAATGGGGAGGAGTGCTGTAAGATGCTGTCGACGTGATGTGACCATCGCACTCATGAACTCATTGTCGTGGACGCCTGAACAAGACCTGTACAAGATCAACCAGTCGAAACTCCAGCATGAATGAGGGAGGGACTCGGAAGGTCCCACACCTGGATGAGGACCTATCGGCAGTTAATAGCTGCTGGGAATAGGAGAGTCATTTTCCCTTTCTGGTATGGCCCTTGGTAGCTTTTAATTCTCCATATGGGTAACACTAACTGGACTCAGTAGGTTATAAAAATAGCAATAAAAGGAAGAGGCTGAGCCGGACGGTGGTGGTGCACGCCTTTAATCCCAGCACTCGGGAGGCAGAGGCAGGTGGATCTCTGTAAGTTTGAGGCCGGGCTGGACCGACAGCCTCCAAAACAATACAGAGAAACCCTGTCTCGTAAAACCAAAAAAAAAAAAAAAAAAAAAAAAAGGAAGAGGCTGTAAAGTTGTAGGCATTTTGGAGAGTTCTAGAAGGAATTAGAAGAGGAATATCCACATATTCATATATAAACGTATGAAAAGTTCAAATAGTAAATAGAATGATATTTTAAGTTGGTAGAGGAATGATGATAAATTAAACATTAAATTTTATAATAGGTCTAAAATGAGTATCAGACTATACTTGCTTTAAAAAAATTAAGCTATTACTTTCTTACCTGCATATGGATACAGATGCTGTGAGCCTCTCTGCTCACTGAAATGCTAGAGGCAAAAGTATGCAACACTGAGTAAGGACTCTTGCTTCTGCAGTGTGCACACAAAACCATCTCAGCCTCATGGGCGACCCAAGGAGCATGCCTGCACCAGCAGACTTTTCCTTTCGGGCCACCAACCAGCTCCCAAATCATGACACAGAAACTTAATATTAGCTATGACTACTCAGACTAACTTGGGCTCATTTCTGCCTTGCTCTTTTAACTCAAATTAACCTGTTTTTCTTTATCTACCTTTTGCCTGGGGGCTTTTACTTTTCTTTCCTTCTCTTTATCTCACTTTCACTGCTTCTTGTATCTGGGTAGCTGTGGCTGCCTGGCTTCTTGCCTCGGACATGTCCCTCTCTTTATCTCTACTTATCCCTCGTTCTCTTCTTTCTCTTCTCTCCCTAAAGCCTGGATTCCTCCTCCTATTCATTCTCTCCGCCTGCCAACCCTCCCTATGCCTCTACTGCCTAGCTATTGGCCATTTATCTTTCTATTAGACCAATTATTAGACCAATCAGATGCCTGTAGGCAGGCAAGGTGAAAGAAATACAACACATCTTTACGCAATTAAACACACATCCTTACATCATTAAGCAAATGCAGCACAAACAAATGTGAAGCATCTTTGCACAGTTAAAGTAATATTCTTCAACATAAACAAATCTAACACACCTTTACACATTTAGAGTAATATTCTGCAGCATAAACAAATGTAGCACACCTTTACACAGTTAAAGTAATATTCCACAGCACATGCCAGGACACACAGAAAAGATGCATGCATTTTAGGGTCCCCTTCCTGGAGAAGACTGATTTCTTTTA